TTAGTGATGTGAGCATAGAATTAAGCTCAAAAGGTGTCCATTCGATAACTCTGATCGAGTTCTATCTGGAACCGGCATTGGCTATGTTAGAACCGGCAGTTTAGCGAGTCGCGGTGGGTCATACCAAAAAAGACTTACATCGTGGCCCAGATTGGCCGGTTTGTGAGGGTCAGGAGAACGGAATCGAACTTTTAAGGTGCCCATTCTATAGGGCGCGTCGAGTTCTATCTGGAACCATCATTTGTTTTGTCGGAACTCGAAGTTGAGCGAATCGCGACGCTTTATTCTAGTTTTTCCGGTTTTTTTCCTATGTTTTTTTGGCGTAAAATAGAGCTTTTATATGAATGAAAGGGTGTTTTAGGAAAAAAAGTAGTGCAGTGGATAGAACTCGTCGAGATCTACTTGGAATCAGCATTGGTCTAGTTGGAACCAGCTTCAGTGCGAATCGTGATTGGAAATACTCGAATCCGGACCTAAGATATCCTACGTCTTTTGAAATTGAGTCGCTTTGATAAAGATATATATATATTATATGTATCTAATTTATTTAATTTTCTTTAATCGGTTATTTTTCAGATCAACAAGTGAAAAGGTATCATATCATTTTATACATGCAAAGCCATCAATTCTATTTGAAAATACATCAACTCTTGGAATTTTTGTCAAGTCTATTGTACATTTTTTACTATTATCAATTATTCAACATAAATGTACAATGTTTAATACCAATTTACCAATAGAGCAATATAGTAGTATGTCAAACTTGATCCATCTTTTAGCCCTATATATAAATACACTACGAAAATATTGTACTAGATGTAAGATATCAATTTCATATGTTTCAATCGCTGATATTGCATATTTGCGCGTACAAAATAAAACAAATGAATGAACCATTGCGATTGATACAAATATTAATTCAGAAAACCAACAGTTTCGTTTATTCAATAGTGTAAAATATGGGAAATATAATCCTCTTGTTCCATCAACTATATTTCCTTTTCATTGTCAATTACAGCATTCATCCTCTGATCTTCTTAAAAAGTCTTTAATCACATTCATCGAAGACGATCACATATCAAAAATTTATTTTATGAATAAGAAAATTGTGATTGATTTATCTTCTATTTATAATTCAATAACTACACCATCATGTAATTTGTTAAATATTAATTTAATTAATCAACATATAGATCCTTCGTCTTTTCGTAATCTATCCACAAATATTAATACAGATCGAAATTTGTCACATTCAATACATGTTATTACAATTAACAATCTAAATTTATCTCTATCAGACATACAAATATTTCTTAGTTTTGTTGAAAATATAATTACATCTGATCCATCCCATCAAGGTTATGTACATTCATGTGTTCGTGGTATTTACAATGAAAATTTATTATTTTTTAATCTAGCAGGTAATTGCAGATATTGTCCGAAAAAGAATGGTCATCATCAACGTAATAAAGTAGCTATCATGATAAATACTAAAAACTATACATACCGTGTTCGATGTAAAGATATCGAATGTAATAATACTAGCTTATCGTGGAAAAAAATAAAATGATTTTTTTTATTTAAATCATAAACGCTTCATTAATTAATATACAAAACTTTTATTCACTAAGAAATAATAAATTTATATGTCTGTTTTTATAATGCCTAATCATAAAAAAACACGTTCATCTCACATACTTGTTTCATTCTTCGTTTTTCTTCTCTACTTTTTTTAGTAATTTTTTTTTAATATATATTAATTCATTTTTCGATAAAATTCAAGAAAGTCGAATTTGATAATATTCTATTTTCTTCTAATTAACAATAAGAAATCAATCTAATAAAACACGCATTTCTGTATTCTTTCATCAACATATCTCTTGCTTGAATAATCTTATGGAAAATATAAAATAAAATTGTGACATATATTCAACTAACCACTTATTAATTGAAATTGGTAAGTTATATGAATTATAGTTCGGATAAACTAATGATCACAATATAGGATTAAGAAATGAGTCATATAATGCAATATTAATATTCCATTTAGTGAAATTAAGGATTTGTTAAACCGTCTGATTTAATATACTTGTTGGGAAGTCATTCTAGAAATATTAGAAAACAAAATTAGGCTATTAAACATGAGTAATAAAATACTTGAACTATAGAATCCTTTTAATAAATTTTTACGAACATTTGAGATGAGAAACAAACCTTTGAGCTAGAAAATACTTTTTTCTTAGTTTATATATTCAATTAAGAACTATTGATAAGCTTAAATGTATTTTGACGAAGATTTGAGATGAAGAATAAACCTTTGAGCTAGAGAATAAAAAAAATCTTCTTTTCAATCTCTATAATTAACTACGAGCTATAGTTAGATTTCAATGTGTTGAGACGAACATTTGACATGAAAACAAAAGCCTATGAGCTGGCAAATAGAATTTTTTTTTCAATTCATAAAATTAATTACGAACTATAGTTAGATTTCAATATATTTTCACGGGCGTTTGACATGAAAAACAAACCTTTGAGCCAGAGAATAAATTTTTTTTGTTT